TATTTGTTCTCTCTCTTTGTTTTAACTGTAGTCGTTGATCCAAGCCGTACAGTAAATGTGATCCTCGACAGAGTTGATGGGATTTGTGGTTCTTGTTGGATCCTTCTTCACAACATAAAAAACTGTGTGCAGGAGAGCTAAAATTAGCTACGGAATGAAATGTCTCAGAAAAAGGAAAATTGGACTCAATTACTGGAGAATTCCTTATTCAGTCATGTTTTGACCTCTCCTGCGCCAGGAAAATATGAACGTCGTTTAGAAGCAGAGGGAGGAAAAAAGAGTAGAGAAAGTCAGAGGCACAATGAGTATGTTAGTCAGGGGCTCTGAGGGGTTTGCTTGTTTCCAGTGGCAAGAATCAGCTCAGAGTATTAGTTTGATTAGACCATATGCATATTTTTATATGTTTGACTTCTCAGCACAGAAACAGATCTCACACATTTGATAGCTTGCCAGTCCAACAGTGAGCCAGTGTTTATTTATTACTTTAGTGTCTATTAGGAATTCAGCTGTATGAGAAGAATCAGGAAAACACACAGGCATTTCATGTGGCTTAGACATGTTTGCCTGCCCAAATTAATCAAGCTATGACACACACAATTACAGTAATTCATCACTCTGAACACACTTATTTTCAGTTTTACAGAGTTGTATTGAGATAATTAAAATCATTAAAATAGATTGTGTAAAAAAGACTTTTCAAACTTTTAATTTCAATTGTACAGCACTGATTTTTGAAAGAGCTTTTTTTTTTTTTTTTACAGTTTTGAAACATCTTCTGTTCTCCAAGCCTGCATTTATTTGATAAAAATATTAGTAATCATTATAATATTTTAAAATAATATCTTCTATAATTATTAGCAGTAGATTATTATATTGAGTATATTTTAAAACCTTGTTAATTTCTGTGAAGACAGAATATGCTTCATATGCATGGAGTAATGCAGTAATCATTTTGATATTTGTTGATTTAATTATCAGGGAACGTTTCGTATTTTTGATAATGTAGATGGCTGTGCTGGTCAAACTTGTATATATATATATATATATATATATATATATATATATATATATATATATATATATATATATATATATATATATATATATTTTTTTTTTTTTTTTTTATAATATTAAAGTCCCTGCTGTCACTTTTGCTTAAGGTAATGCATCCTTGCTAATTTAAATTATTTTCTTTAAAAAGTAAAAGAAATCTTAGTGAACCAACACTTATATTTTAATAATTTCATTTTTATCAAATATAAATGTAAAACATGTTACAAAAAATAATAACATACTAGCCCAGCAGACACACAACGTCATAAGATGTTAATATTAGGTTAGATTTAGGTCGCCAGCATCTTATCTTGACGTCCAATAGTGACATGAAATGACGTTGATATATTGTTGATTTTAGGTTGTGTTGGAAAGTGATCAAAATCCAACGTCGATGCAACATCTTAAACCAACGTCATATTCACTTTCGCCCATTGGAGAAGTTTTGTTCTTTTTTTCCTAGCCACTGCTGCCACTGGCTTGCAAAGCTCGGGACTTTTAGAGCTGCGCATCGATGAATTACTCTTTAGTTTTTGGACTCTCAGCAATGAATATTAAAGCACATTGAACTGAATTGAGCTAATCTAAACTGAACTGAAACTCTGAAGACTGGACTGACATGGTTTTAAATCACTATAATCTTCTATGTGAAGCTGCTTTGACACAATCTACATTTTAAAAGCGCTATAAAAATTAAGATGGATTGAAATGAATATTGACGTCAAATACTGACATTTAATCGCCAAGTATGGCAACCAAAATACAATGTCTGATAGACGTCATAGTGGTAATGTCCACACAATGTCAAGCTGTAACGTCATTAGACGTTGATGTTTTGTTGTTTTTAGGATGTGATGGAAAGTAACCAAAATGCAACATCTGTCCAATGTTGGACGTTGCGTTCTGACGTAAACCCAATTTTTTCATTTCCAAACAAAATGCAACGTCCCACGACATTGTGCTACAATGTCAATCTGACATCATGTTGACGTCCTGGGCCTGCTGGGAGAGAGCTGATACCAAATGTGTGTCAAATTAACTTACTTATTCCGATATGCAGGATTGACTAAACTGTCAGATTTATTGGCAGAAAACTGTAAGTATCTTCAGGATCTTGTGTGCAAGAAATTCTCAGAAGCATACTTCTTGCAAAAGGGCCTGACAAAAGTTGCCATCCATTGGCAGGCAAAGGCTTTCGTTTCTGGATCAGTGTGACGGGTTGGCACTGCTCTGATGCAATCAGTCTACACTGGAGATTGGATTGTTCATCTGTTTTTTTGGCCAGCTGAAATCCTCTTAGAATGAGAAGAGCAGAAACGACCACCAGCATTTCAACCAGTGGCCTTTACTCTGCCACTGCTGGCACATTAGACATTACCGAAAGTAGCAGTGAAAATGGTCAGCTGGCTGTCTTGCAGGGACTAACGCTGTCTTAATCTGGCATTGTTTTACTCGGGGCTTGAAGGTTAAAATATGTTTTGTTTCAGAAAACTGGCAAATGTTCTGGCTGAATTCTGATGGTAATTCAAGATGTATTGTAAATCACTATAAATCACAAAGGGATAGTATAAACAAATTTAGTCTCACCGTCAGGTCATTCCAAACCTCAATGTCTTTCTTTCTTCTGTGAAGCTCAAAAGTAGATGTTAAGCAGTGTGATCTTTTTCCATAGCATCTTTTCCATGCAGTGAAAGTCAACGGGCTGTCATTCTGCCTGAAATCTTCTTTTGAGCTCCACGGAAGAAGAGAACATGCTTTCATTCTCAAAGGGGCTTTTTCTCAATCTTGTTTTGTTTTTGTGGGAAACAGTATGATTTTGGTTTGAATACCAATTGTAAATGCCAATCTGGATTTTTGAAGAGAAGAGAAAATCTATCTTTAAAGCTTGTGACTTACGTCAGCTTTTTAGAAGTTTTAAGTGCCAAAACTTGTCTTACACAACTACTGATAATCAAAGATAGCTAGTAAAAACAAGTAAAACTAACATATATATATACCTACTATTTATAAGCAAGCAAAAATCAAATCGATTTGTGCAATTGTAATTTCATTATGTGTTACAGCAGTGGGGAGATGCAATCATTGAAATCAGTAACTGGAGACTTGCTCTGATCGTGAGTTCAGTGAGTTGTTCATTTAAGAAAAGATGCAACGGATCAGTCCAATTCATGAACGAATCATGCAGTATGATTTGGGAATCAGTTTAAAAGGTTAACTGCAAAAGAGCTGGTTTACCAATTGCCATATATTCTTAGCACAGTAACACTGAATACACTTCTGCTGTCCAGGAGTGTGTTTCCCAAACAACATCATAACTTGTGGCTGAACTACAATAGTACATTGCATCATTTGGGAAAAGAACAATGTAGGGACGAGTGTTTCAGAGTAACAGTAGTTTCTCTGTTGTAAATCCATCTTTTAAACCACTTTAATCATAACGTAAAACAACCATAATGACGCTCTAAATGGGGTGGAGTAAAAACCTTATAAAATACCCAGAAATGTATTTGTGCTAAACTTTTACATGCACACATCTAAAAAAATATCCAATATTAGTTTTAGCAAAAACATGCATTTTTTTTTTCCATATTAATTGAAATATATGTACACGACATATATAGGGCCACTGGGTCCGTTACAAATATTTTTCTTGTTTGTTTTTCTCATTCTTTTCTTGTTTTGTTTTTGTGGGAAACAGTATAATTTTGGTTTGAATACCAATTGTAAATACCAATCTGGATTTTTTTACTCTGCAGATCTTGATGGTCAATTCCGATTTAGTGACTGTGTCCAATTTTTTTGATGACCTGCTTACATCATCTTTTAAAAGTGACTCGTATCCGATGGTCTGCATTTACGCAGCACACGGAAAAGGCACAATGACCAGGAAAAAAGAATGGGCGCTGACTAACAGCTAATAATTAAAGAGTGCTCTTTTCTCTATCCCTGTACGTAATCTGTTCGCAGCTTCTGACAAGCTGTTTTACTATAGTTTATGACAGAAAGGTTCCCATTTGGCCATCTTCTTTTGATATATAGACTTTTTGAAACCTTGAGGCATCTTAATGTAATGTCCATGGCGTGATTTATGCATGTGATGAATGCACTAGTTTTATATTAGATTATATTGCTTACGTGGCGGACAATGCGCTCTCGTTAACATGCTTAAATACCTGTGTTATATGACAATATAAAAGCTGTTTAAGTCCTCGTGTATGAGATTTGAGGTTTGGGACTCTGCTGAAGTCTGTTCTGAAAAGAAAGTGTCTGTCTTGACTTCATTCGCTACGGTTTTTAATGACACGCAACTCGCATTGACAGGTGAAAATCTGCAGACACGAGAACAGAGATCCGATTCATATTGGATAAATTACCACATATGAACAAGGCCTGAATCTGATTTGAGTAAATTGGAATCCATGTGATTTTTTTCCTGCTTAAACGTACATGGGCCATATCCGAGAAAAAAATTGAGTCACTTGAACAGTGCAGTGTAAATGCAGCCATTGATCTTCATAGTGTTATTTTTCTACTATGCATGTCAGTGGCTAACATTTAACATTCTTCCAAATATCTTCTTTTGTGTTCAATAGACAAAAAGAATCTCCTAAACGAGGGTGAATAAATAATGTCAGTTTTCATTTTTGGGTGAACTATCCCTGAAGTGGCACAGAAAATGCGTCTAAAGTGACATTTAAATCACCCGTAATGCCATTAAGATGTTTTTGTTGTCAAGTAATGGCAAAGATATAATTTTAATAGGATAAAATGGTCTGAGTTTGTGTGCCAAACAATCTTTGTACGCCTCTTGACACTGCTCTTCCCTGTCACTGTAAATATTGACATCACTCACAATTTAATTTGCTGCTCTGCCAAGTCATAAGAGTAAAGTCTGATGATGACAGAATATTTAAATAATAAAAGCTGTTGTTTTCTTTCTGTTGCAGTGTTGTAAGTCTTGCCTATGAGAGACTTTTCCGTCAGCCTTTGGACTCCTTCAGAGAGGAATGGCCATGATTGCCTGTCATCGGATGGCGAGTTGAACGGGACGGTCCCGTCACAGAAGGTGTCACTGAAGCCACTTGTGGACATCAGATTGAGAGTGGACACTGCAGCCTCTCCAATGAGCAGTAAGACAGGAAGTCCATCATCAAGCCAGGTGTCAAACTGTTTAAGACCCGCCCCAATAAATGCCTTAAAGACACAGTACATCTCTATGTAGAGGAACCTGCAGCAGGAGACTTCTTAAAAAAAAAAAAAAAAGCTTGACATGTTTTCATTTTCCTCTTTATGAGTGAATCAGTGTCTTGCAAGAACAGATGTGAATATTTTCTTATAATAGAGAAATGTTTGTTTGGGTGTAATATTGCCACTTGTTTTGTTTAGTTTCTTTCAATGTTTTTTTTGTTTTGTTTTGTTTTGTTTGTTCGGTGGTAGGCCTGATGAAAGCTGTTAAATATACGTGAAGGGAAAGTCTACTGTCTGTCGGTGGCAGCCTCTTCCATCTAGTTTTTTCTCTTTTCATTTCCTAAACCAAAAGACTGCCAGCTGGAATGGAGAAATTCAGCGGCAGCGCTCAATGATGTCAGTCTGGACGGGTCACACTTTTACTGTATGAATGCAGGGTCAAATCACATACCCCTAAGATACATTGCTTTCACTCAAATCTCCAACAATCAAACTGCTTTTAGATTAGAGTATGTACATTTCATTAAAACCTTAAAGGTCTTTAAGGATAGTATTCTCCAAAAATTAGAAAATTCTGTCAATATTTGCTTTTCCAAACATGTATGACTTTCTGTCTTTTGCAAAGTGTTTTGTTTTTATGCCCAGTTTATAAACCAACTGATGGCTTGATCAGACTGCAGTGGAATTGATCTCATTCAGATCAATCTAAATTAAAGTTTAATTTAGTTGAAATGGATGGCTTGGACCTTGAATAATACAATCAACATGAACAAATAAGCATAGAAATGCTTGAATTCAATTATTTTCTCATACATGCATGCACGTTTATTAAAATTTCATCTCTTATGAACTGTCTAGTGGTAGAGAAAATATATCTTTAAAGCTCAAGATTTACCTCAGCTTTTTAAAAGTTTTAAGTGCCAAAACTTGTCTTACATAAACTAACATACACCTACCTACTATTTATAAGAAAGTAAAAATCAAATCTATTTTTAAAATTGTAATTTCAGTATGTGTTACAGCAATGGGGAGATGCTTAGACAAAAATATTTTAACATTGTTTATTTAAAAAAAATTTTGCCCAAAATAAAAGCTTAAGATAACTGGAGACTTGCTCTGACTGTGAGTTCGGGGAGTTGGTCATTTGAGAAAAGATGCAACGGATCAGTCCAATTCATGAACGAATCATTTATTATGATTTGAGAAGCAGTTCAGCTTGTTTACCAATTGCCATAATTGTTCTTAAGCACATTAACAGTGAATACACTTTGCTGTCCAGGGGTGCGTTTCCCAAACAACGACATAACTTGTGGCTGAACTACAATAGTATGGTGCATTGTTTGGGAAAAGAACAATGTAGTAACAAGTGTTTCTCTGTTGCAGATCCATCGTTTAAATTATTATAACATTAATTATAACGTAAAACAACCATAATGACGCTCTAAATGGGGGAGTAAAAACCTTATAAAATCCCCAGAACTTTTTGTGCAAATTGTTTTACATGTACAGATTTTTTAAAAATATCCATATTAATTTAAATATATGTACACGACACATATAGGGCCAATGTTTTTCTTTACAAATATTATTATGAATATTCCATATTCTATTCTAAAACATGAAACCACTTACCACATGAAAAGCCAACACATATTCTATATAGAACCATTAACATATAAATCATCACGTTAATGGTTTTAATTTATAGTAGGCTATTTACAAAAAAATAAAAGTATAATAAATAAAAAATAGACTACTTAATAAAAGTATAATAAAAAACAATAGACTATAGACTACTTAAAAATGATATATATATATAAGTAATAAGTAGCTTAAACTGAACTGTAAAAAATACACATAAGAGAGATGGCTTTAATGTTTGTTTTAAAATCATTCCGAGTTTAAATTGAATGTTCTAAATGAATAGGGCATAGGGCAGATAACTGGGAATGTAACACAGTCAAGAACTCTGCCTCTAACTACTACTCTAGTGTAGTTGCACACGCACAAGATCCCGACGCAGTTTACAAATTTTCGTTGGAACAACGGATTTGGGAGACACAAAATCAAAGAACCATGTTTGTAACGATGGAATGTACGACCTTAGTTGACTAACGATGGATTTCCGAAAAGCACCCCAGCACAGACAGAACTTTCAGAACCTAAAAATAAATCATTCAAATTGAGTCAAATGATGATGCTTTTGAATAATGACAGTTCATGTTAACATCACAATGTGGGAAACACTCTTCAAAATTAATTTTTGTTGTCTTTTACATAATAAAGAAAGTCATCCAGGTTTTCAACAACAAGATATCAGTAAATATTGACAGAACGATTGATTTTGAGAGAACTATTCCTTTAACGCACAGACGAGTACTTCACTAAGAGTAGTAATTTTAATAACACACCTATACATTGGGTGACCTTGCTAGTCTCTAAGGTGCAAATAAATAATGAAAGCTCAATTGTGGGTGCCATCACGTTTGGTGGACAGCTGGTTATTCATTTGAGTTGGTGCATTACTGGACTGATGCCCAGTGCTCAGATGGCAAGCTGAGACTGCTTCTCTCTGCCTGCATCCACTTTATATATCAGCGATGACCCACTACTGAGTTTGTTTGAAAAATATTCGCCATCAGTTAATCAGAATACGAATAGCACCGCTCTGCTGTTGTGAACTGGGAATTTTGTAACTGCAGTTCAATTCGCCCTCTATAAACAGTGCCCTCAAAGTGAAGACTGCAAATTACAGTGCCACACACAGACAGCATAAAATTAAAGCCACATATAAAGCGATCTGCAAGTCATATTCCCAGTTAGCTAACACTCTCTCTCTTTCACTCTGTTGGGAGACACAACAGCAGAAAGAGACGATATGAAATGACTGCCCCGCAATCCTCCTTGCCTCTGTCTCTCTTTTCATCTCCCACTCCTTTATCGTTCTTTGTCTTTGGCTCTCCTTCCCTGCCTATCTGACATGCAACCAAGCATGCAGGCTTATGCACACAGTTCTGTGTCCCTCTCTTTCTGCGTGTCTGTCCAGTCAGAACCCCTCCGAATAGACGATGTGTCCGACGTTTAGGATCAAACCTTATAGAATATAAACACAAAATTTCTAGAATGAACCAGCTGCTTCGTTGTCATGGAAATACATTCAAGTAATCTGTATGCAAAGTTCTATGGAAGTGTACTATCTATTTTTTTAAATCTAGCCTTGAATATTATATAACCAAAGTCGAACCCTGAAAAGTCTCTATGTTCTATGTTTGGACCTCTTTTTATTTCCTGAAGAGATTTAGACCTAGTGAAAATAGATGCACACGAAACACGACGTATGTACATAAGCAGATGTCTATTTTATTGTGTCCTCAAGGTCACGCGTCATGTTAGGCAGATCTACTTTTTTGACTGTTAGCCTTCTCGAGTCCCGGGCCCTGGATTTCTCTTGTTCTCTTGATTCCTAATGGTTTTGTGCACCTCGTGGAAGTCGTTCCTGCCGGTTGCAGACTCTCTCTCCTCAGCTCTCTCTCTCTCTTTTTTTAGCGTGTGTGTTAGTTAGTTGACTGGACTCTCTAGCAGAGGACCACTTGCTGAGTGCTTTTCATAAAAACTGAAGCCGAGATCATCAGGTGGATCAGCGCCATGAAGCAACTAAACATGGAGCGTTTCGTCACATGTTGTAGATCTGCATGTGACTTTAATATGTAAATATGTGTTAGTGCTACTATGATGTCACCATGACATGTCGCTCCGTGCTCCGCGCAGTGGATGGGAATGGTTTACATTCGAGAACACAAGAATTCCTTAACATCCACGATGCGATGCGCATGGCTCTTTCATTACACACTGAGTCAACAGCCAAGAATTACCAGCCAACCGTGAGGAGACTTTGTTACCATGGAGATGCTCTGCCAGTGCTGACTGGTCAGCTGGCTATGGAGGAAGAGGAAGCTTTGCCCTCTGAGAAAAAAAAAAAAGGAGAATTACCTGCTAAACGAGATAGATCATATCAGCACATCCTCTCATTGAGTTGATCGATTATTTTCTTCATATTTGCTGGGTGGCTCTCTCCTCAATATGTAATGCAATGGAGAGATTTTCAAGATGACAAGTTTGAATACTGTTAGAGATGCACTGTAATAAAATGATTTTAATTATTTATTTTCATATTATGGCTGATAGAAAATTAATGGCTCATGTTAAAATTCTTTGCTTTATTGACTTAATGATTTAAAAAAACAACAACAACAACATGAATTTAGGCATCACAGCAGTATAACGTAGAGGTTATTCATTGTGAGATTGGTCAAAAGTGACACTAAACAGTGTTTTTTGATTAGTGTTTTTAAATATTAAGCATTAGATGATGGCAAATATGATCTAAAAGTAAAAAAAAAAAAACTGGGGAAATACACAAATATTTACATGTTATTTATAGGCTGATGTATATGCAGTATTTAAATGAACAAAACTCTATTTGATTGCAAAAGCATCTCAGCTACTGTGTGCAAGATACTGACTCAAAATCAAGAGAATCCTTAGAAATGCACAAGCATAGCAATCATAGAAAGAAAACCTTAGTACACCGATGTGATATTTGATGTATAAACAATTTTATAAATTGTTAATGCCTTCATTTCAGATTGGAAAACATTGTACTATGTGTACAAGTGACTGCTGGATTTCAGTGAGCTTAAGGATGTGACACACCAAGCTAACCTTAAAGAACTTGCGGCAATGAAAGCCAACTTTGTTGTCACCTCACGTGACTACATTGTGCCTGAAAATTGCACAGAAACATACACCACATTATAGCTGAATGCAGAAGACAATCAGAGTCAAACATCTTGTTTTTAAACTTTACATTTGAGCAAATACACAGTTTGAGTGTGTAAAGGTGGCAATTTTGTTTCTGTCTTGTTTCTTAAAGGTGCAGTAGGTGATCTGCCAAAATGCTAACCGGTTAGCATAATATATTTGAAACACAGTCCCACCCCTGCCGTCCAAAGCTACGCCTCCTGATATCATGAATGACCTTAAAGATGGCAGTAGACAACCCACAATAGATCATGTCATTCGCCAGTTAGAAATCTTTACAGTACTTTATAATACTACAATTCTGAACGAAAAACTGTATTATATCTAGCACGTTTTCTGTTGTTTAGCAGGCAAAACTTGCCATAATGTGCAATATATATTTCATACATGCAAGGATTGCTGGTCTCACTCTCTCACGCACTTTATCCTAAAGCGACTACTGTATGCTTAGTG